AAAAAAAAAAAAAAAAAAAGAAGAAGAAAACATTGGCTTGAAAGAGATCCATATACAGAGTAACACTAAACCTGCCATAAAACTGCTCAATGATAGAAGTATTAGCATTGCTACCCCAATTTTGGTTAACTACACGTTGCTGATGCACAGCTTATGTGCATCTTGATTGCCCCCAGACCGTTTTTCAAATCACTGGTCACAAGAACATGAAGATGAAGGGAGGAGCTATGTGCCTTTGGTAAAGCTACTGAAGTTTGAAAAGCATATGTAAATAGCAACTTCACTGACATAAACCTAATACATCCTAAAGTTTTATGAGGAGCCCTGTTCTCGGAACCCCACAAATTCCCACCACCATGTATATATTTTTTTACAACTTGTAAATAGACAAAAATTGAATTCATAATGCACCATATACTATAAGGTATATCTAACACTCCTTAAAGGCAAAATCTGAGATTTTGAGTTATAAGATGTAAGACACTGGCCGGGAGCAGTGGCTCATGCCTGTAATCCCAGCTCTTTGGGAGACTGAAGCAAACAGATCACCTGAGGTCGGGAGTTTGAGACCAGTCTGACCAACATGGAGAAACCCCATCTCTACTAAAAATAGAAATTAGCTGGATGTGGTGGCGCATGCCTGTAATCCCAGCTACTTGAGGGGCTGGGGTAGGAGAATTGCTTGAACCCAGGAGACAAATGTTGCAGTGAGCTGAGAATGCGCCATTGCACTCCAGCCTAGGCAACAAGAGTGAAACTGCGTCAAAAAAAAAAAAAAATTGAAAAGACATTAAACACAGATTTTTGTTTTAGTTTTTCTTGTGACAAGGTCATGCTCTATAACCCAGGCTAGAGGGCAGTGATGCAATCATACCTCATGGCAACCATGAACTCCTGGACTCAGGTAATCCTCCTACCTCAGTCTCCTGAGTAGCTGGGACTATAGGCAAACACCATCACACCCAGCCAGCTTAACCATCCATCCATCCAACTAATCCAACCAATCCATCCATCTATCCATCCATCCATTTATTTATTTATTTTTATTGTTTTTAGATGGAGTCTCCCAATGTTGCCCAGGTTAGAGTGCAGTATACCGGTCTTGGCTCACTGCAACCTCCACCTGCCAGGTTCAAGCGATTCTCCTGCCTCAGCCTCCTGAATAGCTGGGATTACAGGCGTGTGCCATGGTACCCAGTTAATTTTTTGTATTTTAAGTAGAGGCGAGGTTTCATCATGTTAGCTAGGCTGGCCTCAAACTATGACCGCAAGTGATCTGGCCTCAGCTCCCAAATGCTGGGATTATGAGTGTGAACCACTGCGCTCGGCTCAGTTTTTTTTTCTTTTGGTGGAAACAGGGTACTCCCCATGTTGCCCAGGCTGGTCTCAAACTCCTAGACTCAGGTTATCCTCCCACAGTGGCCTCCCAAGTGTTGGGATTACAGACAACTGTGCTCAGCCTAAACCTATGTTTTAATATGCATAAATTTACCCAATGATCCAATGATTCCTAGCTATCCATTAAGTAAAATCCAGTGAAGGAACTTACCGAATTGTTGAATTGCTCTATCAGCGCTCCAAGGTAATTCTAAAGTCATATGAACTCTTCGCCTTTGATTTTTAGCTCTCCTATCTGCTTGTAATGAAATACCCGAGCTGGCAGCTTCTGAGATGATAGCAATATTCTATATCAAATATAAAAGAAATAAAATCACCTTTGCATAGCAAGCAGGCCAGTGTCTTAAAAGAAGTTCTTTAGCAAGCCACTTACTCTCTCCTTTCTCAATAAAAAGACTCCCAATTTTATTGCCCAGTCTTCCTTACAGCTAAGTGTGAACATTCTCCAGCCAGTGTGGTGTAGGTAAAATGTATGATGCCCAGGAAATGTCTCTAAAAGGAGGAGACATGCCCTTCTCATCCCCTTGTCTCCTCTATTACATAAAATTTAGAGGTACTAACAAGGTCTGGAACAGCTATCTTGGAATGCAGAAGTAACTTGGAAATGGATGTCAACGTAATTTAATAGACAACACGGAAGATGCCTGGGCTTCAAGGGGGCATACAAGCCCTGCTCTACCTACCCAAATGTATCCATGAAAGAAATAAGCATCTTTTCTTTTTTTGAGAGGCTGTCTCACTCTGTTGCCCAGGCTATGATCTTGGCTCACTGCAACCTCTGCTTCCCAGGTTCAAGCGATCCTCCTGCCTCAGCCTCCTCAGTAGCTGAGATTACAGGCGCCCGCCAACGTGCCTGGCTAATTTTTGTATTTTTAGTAGAGACGGGGTTTCACCACCTTGTCCGGGCTGGTCTCAAACTCCTGACCTCGTGATCTACCCACCCAGGCCTCCCACAGTGCTGGGATTA